GCATGGTCTGACCGTTGCACCAAACAAGTTGCGATAAAAAGATCAAGCCTACAATATACAGCTAAACTAGACTTCGAACAAGCAAAATACCACACCATTTTGGTCTCCATATCTACTATTTATTTTGTAGGTTGCAATTGCTATCTGCTTGAAATGAGAATTGGGGTAAAGTGAAGATCAAGTTGGGGATTATTACAGGAGACTATGCGATACGAGGGTAAGGGAATATAAGATAAAGATCCCTTGATGACCAATGAGGCACAGAATGTTATGAAGGTCAAGATGCCTATTCTAGCTTTAGGTGCCACTCATTCAATGATTTACGACGCGCGAACTAGGATGAGCCTTAAAAATACAACGGACGTAAAGGTGAAAATAAACCAAGCTTATTTGACCACGTTTTGCAGTTACTGGATAAAATATTCGGTATCAACCTTAAAAGTTTAAGCCATCGATGATATTAATATTCATAAAGAAACCAATTTTCAGACGAAAATACGGGTGATATTTCTATGCGTAAATACATATGTACAAAAAGTGCTAATACTGACATTATTGATCGTCAGGTTCCTCTTGCCCAATGAGTACTTTAGGTATGTCTTGATTTATTTCACCTCTTGTGTCTTCTGGGTCATCAATGCTACCGGAAACTGGCTGCAGGGCGTGCAACGAGGCTGCAATTAGCTCAGCCGAATGCCCTGGCTGTCTAGAATCTATTTCAAACTAAAAGGGTTACATGATATGGATTAAAGCACTTAAATAATTTATGAGATTTGGTATTTGGAATTAAACACATAGGTCTACCTCAAGACGAGTTATCAATTTATCCATATAATCTTTCTGTTTTTTTAAAGCAAAAAGGCAGCTTTGAAGGCCTTCAAGATCGGTATAAGCCTCCTCCAAGACTCCTTCGATGCCTGGCAAATTGAGCTAGTAAGCACTATTTGACGAACCTTGATATGTCTTTATGTATTCTCGAACACAGGTGGCCTGAATTTCTGATTCTGATTCGAGAAAGGAAACCCTTGTAGCTAAATTTACCCGTCCTAGCTCCTCGTTATCAGATAGCAACCTTCTCATTCGAGACATAAGACGTTTTCCTTTTGCGCTTTCTGGAGAAAATTTCCATGCTGCTAAATCATCCTGGCTTTGGTTAACTTTAGTTTGTGCCTCCTTGGCTGCTTGATGCATTCGCTTGTAAACTAGGTTGACAGCAGGATCAAAAAGTCTTCTTTTGGCAGCAAAATGGGCTAATGAATGAAGGTTACGGAGAGTTTT